GAATTTTTTTTATGATAGAGAATAGTTAAGAGGTGGAGAAAAATGAAAGGGTTAAAATAAAGAAGAGGCATGCAAATAAATATGCGTGTAGACGGTGGAGTATCCATAACGGGTGGGGGTTTATTTACGGTTTTTTTTTTTATTTTTATTTTATTTTATTTAATGAGATGCCAATAAAATCGGGTCCAGCCCGCAACCCGTTCTCAGAAACCCGGCGATCTCGGGTCCAGGTTGTTTTTATCCCAAAGTCCCACATGATTTATCTGGAAACACCAACATACATATCAACTGCGTGTCTAATTTTCCTTATTTATAAACTTTTTAATTTATTTATATATATATATATATACTTATAATAATATATGAAATATTCTGTTTCATTTTGAATTTTCTTCCTCACGAAGTAAAAGACAATTTTTATTTTTATTATAATATTTTTTTGGCATATAAAAAAGGATTAAAATCCAGCTGGTTTAATTAGGGCATCAAAAATTTATCTAGATTTGACAAATTATGGGTCATATATTAGCATGTGATTTGTTTTAATACTAAGTGGCATAATGTTATTAAGTTCTAAAAATACGTGACAAGATTTGCTTGTGAGGAAAAAAAAAATGTGATTAATTATATTTTGATTAGTGTTGAAAATCAATGTCCGTAAATTAATTTGGTAATTATTGTGCTACAATGCTAGCAAGTCAATCCGATTCGCGAGATCGCATATAAAAAATATCTCATTGGATTGAAGCAAGTATATGACCCTAATAACTTGTGTGTTTTATTTAGTATAGCAATAATTGTAATTAATCAATTTAGTATAACTTAGACAATAATCAATCTAACATAATATATTTTTTTCATAAGAATAGTTTGCATAATCTAAATATTGTGTATTTATTAACCAATAAATCTAATATTAAAGTCGAAATATATTTTCTTACAAAATTAAATAAACCAAATCATTCGATACATTGTTGAAATATATCTTTTAAATTTCGCGAGAAAACTTTTAATAGTTAAATACTTTTTGTTCGTATTCGTAATTTTTGGCTTGCATATGTCTATGTTAGGATAATTTTGATAGGTAAACTATGAAATGTATTTGAACTTTGAGAGATTTGGTGACTATTGTATATTTTTATTCAGAATTTACCTAATTCTTAACGTTTGATTTTGAGATTAAAAAATAAAAAGAACATATGATACGTTATGAATTGTGATAGCTAATTCGAGCATGCGTGTAATTTTGAAAGATGAATAAATTATTATGTGTATTATATTAATAAATTACCTAATTTAAAATCTTTTATGTGAGAATAAATTTTGTAGTATATTAAGAAATTCATAATTCATAATCCTTGCAATAATCTATTGGGTGATTTTTTTTTTTTTATGAAAAGAATAATAATTTATGATTACCAGCACAATTAAAGGATAACCATATACCAGTGCGTACCAATGCGATTCACGAAATAGTTTTATTAAGGTATGTATTTAGATTTGGATGATGGGAAGAACGTGAAACTCACGTATTGAAATAAAATAAAGTGTAACTTATACATTATTAAACACATTCTTGTACACAATATTATTTGTTTGGTATTTTGGTACATCGTCTATCGCATTGCATAGTCAATATAACAAATATTGTAAAACGCCTTTTTTTATAATCTATTGTCTTATTATTTTA